CTTTCCCAGTGAGTGTTGCACAGACGATTTCTCCAGGGATATCAGATCACTGTGGGATTTTGTTTGCTCCCATACCTGAGATTAGTAGTTTGCCTAAGCCCTTTAAATACTTCAAATTTTGGGTGAGTCATCCCTCTTATATGCAGTTGGTTGTTGATGCTTGGAAATTGGAGGTTGAGGGTTGGCCTTACTATGTGTTTTATGGGAAGTTGAGGAATGTAAGGAGGTGCTTCAGGCAATTGAATAGAGAAGCTTACTCTAATATCTCTGCTAAGACTAGGGAGGTAGAAGGGAAACTGGAAACCTTGCAGGCTGCATTGTTACACAATCCAACTGATCTACTTGTTGAAGAAGAAGGGATACTGGCCAGGAAGTGTCTGGAACTTAAAAGGGCAGAAGAGAGCTTCTATAAACAGAAAGCCAGAGCTCAGAGTGTGCAGGAAGGGGATCTTAATACTGCGTTTTTTCACAAAACTGTCAAGGTGCACAATCACAGGCATCAAATATCCAGGATCCTGGATGATCAAGGTAGGGGAAGTAACTGATATAAAAGGAATTGGTAAAGTGGCTGTGGATTTCTATTCTAATTTGATTGGTACAGTCAACTCTGAGGTAATGCTGCAACCCTCTAGTTTCTATGAGCAGCTGAAGATTAAAAGTCTTTCACCAGAGGTGGCAGCAGATATGATTAAGCCCATAACTAGGCAGGAAATTAAAGAGGTTTTCTTCAGTTTAGGTAGGGATAAGGCGCCTGGTCCAGATGGTTTTCCTTCTGAATTTTTTAGGCTACATTGGGATCTAATTGGTTCCTTGGTTGAAGATGTGGCTCTTAATTTTTTCCAAACTGGGATAATGCCTAAAGCAATTAATTCTACCCTATTTACCCTGGTGGCTAAGGTTCCAAATGCTGAAAAGATGAAAGACTTTCGTCCAATATCCTGCTGCAATACACTTTACAAGGGTATATCCAAAGTGCTTGCCAACAGGTTAGCAGCAGTTCTCCCCTTGTTGATCTCTCAATCTCAGTCTGCCTTTATTAGAGGTAGGTCCATTAGTGACAACATTCTTCTGGCTGCTGAACTGGTTAGGGATTATCATAGGAAGAATTTTACCCCTCGTTGCACTATCAAAATAGACATTATGAAAGACTTTGATTCAGTGAGCTGGCTTTTCCTGTTTTCTGTGCTTGAGGTCATGGGACTACCTAGTCAATTTCTGATTTGGTTAAAAGCTTGTGTTCAATTCCCTCGAATTAGTGTGGGTCTTAACGGTGGTATTTGTGGATCATTTGATATGGCAAAAGGATTAAGGCAAGGGGATCCATTATCCCCTTATTTGTTCACAGTGGCCATGGAAGTCCTTGATGGTATGTTGAAGCAAGCAGCATCTCAAAATCAAATTCCTTTTCATCCTCGGTGTAAACCACAAGCAATCACTCACCTCTGCTTTGCAGATGATTTGCTGGTATTTACTAATGGTTCAATCAGGGGTGTGGCTGGGATATGTCGTGTTTTAAGGGCATTTTACACTATTTCTGGTCTGAAATGTAATCCTGAGAAGTGCCAGCTATTCTGTGGGGGTATTCCAGAAGATGAAAAACTGAGAATTTCTGATTACTCTAAGCTTCCTAATAGTAGCCTACCTGTTAGATACCTGGGGGTCCCATTACTTACTGGAAAGCTTACTAGGGATGAAGGTAAGGTGTTGATTGAGAAGATTACAAGTAAAATCACTAGCTGGAGGTCTAAGTTCCTAAGTTTTGCAGGTCGTTTACAGCTGATTAATTCAGTACTCACCAGTGTTTTGCAATACTGGATGGGGATCTTTTTATTACCTAAATATATCATTAAAGAAGTGGAGACTATCTGTAGTCGTTTCCTGTGGGATATTGATGATAATTCACTAAGGAAGAGGGCAGTGGCTGCTTGGCAGTTTGTTGCTAGACCTAAGAAGGAAGGAGGGCTGGGCATAAGAAACTTTTCTATTTGGAATAAAGCATGTGTCTGCAGGCACTTATGGGCTCTCCTGGCAGCAGAGGGATCACTTTGGGTTGCTTGGGTAACAAGATATAGAGTGAAGCAACACTCTATTTGGGATTTAAAAGAGACTGCAGCAGGGAATTGGGTGTGGAAGCGTATGCTAAAGTGCAGGCAGCAGGTTAGGTCTCATATCTCTATAGTTAACTCTGAGTTGAAGTGGGATGGTGTGGCTATGAAGCCTTACTCTGTTTCTAGGGTGTGGGACTCAATGAGACAAAAAGATGCTGAGGTAAATTGGTACAAGTTGGTTTTGGACACGCATATTATTCCTAGGCATGGTTTTATTCTGTGGCTGGTGATTAATGACAAGCTAAAGCTACAGGATAAGCTAATTGCTTGGGGAAAACCACTCACTGGGGAATGTCTGATGTGCCCTGGGGGAGTGGAGTCTAGGAATCACTTGTTTGTGGATTGCTCTTACATTCAGCACTTATAGAGCAAGATTCTTGGCCTGGCAGTGCTACCAGTGGGTGGTGGCTGGGACAATCTTCTGAGTTGGTATGTTTTGCAGTGGAATAGGGACTCCCCAGAGAACTACCTGAACAGAATGTGTTGGAGTGTTATTGTAAGTCTGGTGTGGCGTGAGAGATGTGCGAGGTTGTTTGGTTCGGTTGCAGCAAGGGATCCCCAGCAGCTCCTCCTTGTTGCAAAGAGGGTGATCAGGAGTCGATGTCTTATGAATCAATGCTTGATTGACTGTTATGTAGCCAGGGGGTTGGGGTAGTTAGTTGTTTTTGTTCTTAGTGTTTGCCCTATTTGGGATTGATGTACAGGATTGTGAGTTTTGGGAAGACTCCATAGCGCTTTGCTATTGGTGTCGGTTCTTAATGCATTTTTGATTTAACCATAAAAAAAAAATCCCAGAAAATGGCAGCACAGGCAGATTGCAGTAGCACGGATAAATGAGCAAAGAAATACAAGAAAAGCTGAAGAAGAGCTATTTGGACCAGAACCGTGAGACCTGCTTATGGAACACAACCGATCAGCCCACAATGAATAATTGATTGGACCAGCCCATGCTTCTTGTCCGCCTGGGACATGGAACTGGAGACGGAAATGGGACCAAGTCCATTTTAATGGACAAAGGCCACTGTCCTTTAGTGGGGATATTTTGGCCCAAGTTCTTTGTCTTTTAGGAAGGGGAATTATTGGGCCAGAGGAGGAGAAGGGGAAGCAACTGCGACCGGGAATTGCGAGAACGGAGCGCGACACAGGGCTCTGGGCGAGGAATAATTGGGAGGCAGCGGATCGGGCGGAAGGGAAGGCAAGCAGCAGCGCTAGAGATCCTTTGGAGCGACGAGCGGTGCGCGTGTTTTCGAGTATCTTCGGCCCTTTTCTTTGATTAATATCGTGATGAACAACAAGAACATGATTTTGTGTTTTATATTCGTCATGAACTAAACCCCAATTTCTGGGGGAAATACCATAGGATGTAGCTATTTCTTGACTTGATGGATTGATTCATAATTCGTTCTTCCAATCTCTATTGCATGAAACTACTTAATAGGATAGTAACTTATCGATATGTAATTAGGTTATTAGCGACAGTGAAACCCTATTAGCTGAACATATTTCATGTGACATAGTAACTTATGGAAGCGACGGTGGATTATATAAGATGCTATGCGGTCTTAAATAGGATATCGATCTTCAGGCTAAATAATTAAGTTATTGAGCTACGACAGTAGGATTTGATTTAATTGTTTAGTACGTAGTAATTCCCGACAGGGATAGCTAGCACATTAGTGATATCCTGGCTGTAGAGAATTGGATTAAACTAATTGGAATATGTGAATTAATTTGGATATGATAGGTAGTGAATTCCAGTGTTTCTCCCAGAGCTTTCTCCATTGAATTTCTCCTTACCATTTTAATTTGCTCGTTTTGTTTAATTAATTTGTTATTAGATAATAATTTCATCAATCAAACCATTTCCACCTATAGTTTACTCCATAGAATTGATAAATCATAAGGTTGTACCAGTTCCTGAGAGACGATACCCAGATTTTCCGGTTTTACTACGAGATAGGATTAAGGCATATACGCTTTTGCCCTATCAATCTACTTCCTAACAATATATGAAACCCTAGGGTGAATAGAGTACCTACCCATCCACCAATTCAACATTCATGGTCGATCCCCAAAGAATCTATCTCCAAATGGTAAAGTTGAGAGCGGTTTGTACTCCTTTTTGCATGTCTCTGATTTTGAAACTACATAAAATGAGGAAAGACTTGAAGAAGCTTTCAAACGAGATGCAATATTACTGTAAATCCATTTTCATTTTCATCAAATAATAGTTATTGTTATTATGCCATAAATGAAATGTATCCGGTCAACTTTAGTTACGGTAAAGACACACTTTCCTCTTAAAACTTGAATGGTGAATGAAATTCATACTTAATTGATTTAATAATTACTACCATTTAAACACTCTTATTTTCCGAGGACTTTAGTTTTGTCGGAACCAAGAAAGACTTCCGAGGGGTGAACTGAAGAGTCAAGTCTCTTGCTTCTATTAATTTTACTCCTACATATTTAGCATAAATGGGGTCGGTAAGAATTCTGAAGGAGCAAGAGATGGAGACGAAAATATTCAAATGGAAACTTCCGAATTTATCCAACTTGCACGACGGAATGCTTCTGGAGTCAAATGAATTCCTCGTCGGTGGTTGTGCTTGGTTTGTAGTCCCTACGTTACCTTTCCTAGTCTCCTTTCTCGACCGGTCAAGCGACACTTTCTGTTTGACTGCTCCGGCGACCCTTTTCTCTGTTTTCCGTTTGAGCAGGAAGATTGGTGCAAGGATAGAATCCCCGGTATTTTTGATCGGCAAGGAGTCGGAGAATGAGTGTGCAGTGGAAATTGATCTCTCTTTGGATTTGGATTGTTGCTCCGGTCCACTATTAAGCGCCAGTCGTGGTCGGAAAATATATGCCGAGTACACCTTCACCGTCATCAACATGGCCGATGGCTACTCCTTAACTGAAGGTCTATCTATCAATCTATCTATCAATTTAGTTTCTAGAGTTGTACTTTGCATTCTTTTGGGTATTTCAGGGTTTTACACGATTCGGGTGATTCTTACATCATTTATAGTTTATCATTTATAATTTAAAATATAAATTATGTACTGATTGAGATACTAATTACTATTAAATAACACTAGATTTTTTGCGCGCTATGTGGCGTTAATCAATTGATTATTTTTCATAAAATTTTATTCACTCATTCAATTCAATAATTTAGTTGAAATAAAATTATTATTCATAAAATAGTTCAAGTAAAACACTTCCATGAGCTTTACGTAGTGTTTTAATTATTAAGAAATGCTTATGTAACATATATGTTAGATTGATAGATAAGAATAACTATTCCTTCAACCTTCATAAGTTTTGCATAGTGTATTTTAATAACTGTTATGCAACATCTTACGTCATCTTCCGTAACCGGGATCTTTTGTTGAGGGAGCAACTCCCCTTTTCACCTTGAATTGGTCAAAATATTTGGAATTTCTTTGTGTAGTCTAATAATAAAATGAAGTTACATATCTTACATTTGGTTAAACTATTGTGTAAGATTCACTTATCTTACAGAAGCTTTAATCTGTGTAATACAAATAGATGGGATGTTGAATATAGTAGGTAATAATAAAGAAATATTAGTTAATAAAAAGTGAATAAAGTTATAAATCACTTATCCTATACACTCAGGCCGACCCGATTAATCCGTCCGATTAACCCGACTCGCAACCCGACCGCAATCCAAATTGATTAAAAGTCAATAACCCGTAACCCGCCCGACCCGCAACCCGATTGACCCGCAACCCGACTAACCCGCAATCCGATTAACCCGAACCCGATTGACTCGCAACCCGACTGACCAGCAACCCGATTAACCCGAACCCGATTGACCCGAACCCGACTAACCCGTAACCCGACCGACTCAACCCGAACCTCACTTAGTCCACTTAAATAATTATTATAATATACAATACATAGTTTTCAAAATAAAGTTTTTCATTCTAAACTTAGGTAAAATTATTTTTTCATTTCGTATAGGGAATTTAAAAAATATGAAACTCACATGATATTATGTATTTTAAGAAAATTACAAAAATTGAAACATGAAGGTCACTTGAACACTAAGTTCTTTAAAAAAATTAAAAAAGTAAATATAAAATCAACATAATGTATATATTAATAATGAAGAATTAATAATTGCAATCATGGATAATATTAATATAATATATAAATTAAATTTTTGGTTAATTCAACTATTCAATAAAATTATTAATTAAATATAAATAAAATAAAATAATGTATTTGGTAATTTGATGTTTTTAAACAAGAGGAAAATTTTGGTGAATTCAACTTTTTGGGAAGAGAAAGAAGAGGGAAATTTGGTTCTTTGAATTTTTTAGAAAAGAAACAAGGGAAATTTTGTTGGTATTGATTTGTGGGAATATAAAGAAGTGGAAAAGTTTGGTTCTTTTGATTATGAAAGAGAAATAAGGAGGAAAATTTTGAGTTTTCAACTTTTTTGTGCAAGGAAGGAAGAGGGAAATTTGGTTCTTTCAATTTTATGGAAGAGAAAGAGGAGGGGAATTGAGTGTTTCTAATTTATGGAAGGAGAAAAACGGAGTGAAATTTTAGTTTTTTTTTTTGTGAAAAGAAAGAATGAAACAAGTTTGGTGTTTTCAACTTTTTGGTTTTTCAAAATTTTAGCCTTTGAAATATGAATCTTTAACTTTTATATGGAGGGCATGACTAGTTAAATTTATTCTTATATGCTTTGAAGGCTAATATGTATGTAAATTTTTATGGGCTAATAAATAAATTAACCATTAGTTACAACAATTATACTAAACTTGATAAGTAATCTTTGACGGTTCGTTGTTTAGGGTATAAAGTATATTGGTTAGGGTAAATGGTTTAAGGTACATGGGTTAGGGAGTATATGGTTAGGGTATAAGATATTGATGGTTTTGACGGTTCTAAGTTTTTTATTAACATATGTTCACTTGAAGTCATTTGATGTCTTTAACGGCAGGAGATCCCTTTTTCATTTATGTTTGTGGTACGTGGTTAGGGTACAAGTTATATGATGTAGAGTATAAGATATATGGTTAGGGTATAGCAATTAGCAAATATCACTTTTTATCTATGTTTTGAAAATCAAAGTATGAATTTCAGTTTTTAATTAACTATACTAGCAAAATCACAACTCATAATGACATATGGTTAGAGTATAGGGTATGTAGTTAGTGTATAATGTATTGATAGGGTATACAATCAACAACATATACTAACTTAATATTGTCGATTGAGGGTAAGGCTAAGTGTATAGGATATATGTTATTGAGTAAGTTATGATTGAAGTCCCACTAATTTTACTAGATTTGATAGTTAATCTTTAATGGTTCAATTTTCAGGATAATTCGAACAATTTTACAAATAGCTCGTTTGGCAACAGTTTACTGAAGTTATTTGGGCAATGAGTTATTTCGAAATAACTTCTTTTATCACTCTGTTTTTGCCTTATACCACACGCCAAATACTACATTTGCATGGTTATACTAAATGAGATACTTTAATCCAATTACACTACTGAAATAATACTAAAATATCAAATAAATAATTAATGGTATCTTTTGGTTGTAAATATTGATATCACCATTACTATTAGCTAGTGTACTTTACCAATTACGATTAATTACATAACAAGTTTGCAAGTCATACAAATTGATTTAACATTTTGACTCATTTTTTTCAAAAAATTAAGTATATATAAACGAGGTAGAAATAAATTGGTTAAAATAAATATATTATTTTCAAATAAAGTTTTTCATTCTCAACCTAATTAAAATCATTCACATTTAGTTAAGAAAGTTCAAATCTGAAATTCACTTAAACTTATGGTTTTTAATTACAAAAATTATGACATGTTTTTCTTTAACCAAATTACAAAAAAAAGTAAATATAAAATCAGCACAATGCAAATATTTATAATAAATAATAACTAAGACCTTTTGTCTATAATAATAAACTTTATTATTGGAGAAGATGACAGGGTAAGAACTAAGAAGTAATTTTGGGCGGGTGTGACTAAATTTTGGTTTTGGGCGGGTGTGATGAAATTTTGGGTGCCCAATTTTTTGCAAGCAGAGGGAAGGGTTTTGTGTTTTCGGTGTAATTGAAGTGGGCGGGTGATGATGAAATTTTGGGCGGCCCAATTTTAGTTGTGGTGGGAAGGCGAGATTTCAAATTTCGATTGTGGTGATTTTGACTAGTTTTTCTTAATTAAGTATATATACAAGGTAGAAAGAAATTGATTAAAAACTGTGAAAAATATTTTAAATTAGTGTAATAAAATTTGTAAGTTGGTAACGAGTAAGATGTGTTGACCCGAACAACCCGCAACCCAATCCGCCCGCAACCCGCCCGGTCCGAAACCCGATTTGCCTGTAACCCGATTGAACCCGAATCGACAAACCCGCAACCCGATGAACCCGCAACCCGACTAACCCGCAACCCAATTGAACCCAGCCCGAACCCGCCCGATTGACACCTATAATGGTGGGGTTGCACGGAAAAAGAGAGAGAGATGTGGATCACGCGTGATAGTCTGCACATGAGCCCATTGATGCAAAGAAATTTAAAAGGAATCAACTAGGGGTGTTCAAACGGTCTGGTTATCGTGGTAATTGTTTTAACCGATACTATTTGGATAATTTGGTTTGGTTAATTTCGATAATTAGTTTGGTTTGGTTAAAGTTTTTAGCTTGTTTGGTTTAGGTGGTTTGGTTTGGTTTCAGACACTCCTAACCAGTCAAACCAAATTAACCAGTTAAGTAATTAGTCATATATCTAACATATATATTATATACACATACTTAATACTTTGCATAACCACTCAAGAGTTAACGTTCATCCCTTTTAGACTTATAAATATAAAGCTCAATATTGCTCATATAGTGTATATTTGTATATGTAAAGTGTAGACCACAACATATGGGCGCCTATTTTAGATAAATTTCATACATTATGATGGATGAAAACTTGAAAGGAAGGTCATTTCCAGCCTATGATAATTGCTAAGAGACTAAGTCAATTTACACAAATACAACAATTCATTAACCCATACCATTGTCATAAATTTTTGTTAGGTGAATACTTCTATACTAATCGTAAGATAATTGTCTTAGTTGCATTTATTTTTGTTAAGGGTCAACTATAACTACGTGTTGATTGTTATGTTTTATTCACTATATAAATTACGAATTGTTGCATTAACTGGAAAATTTTCATCGTCAATGATAATGTGATTTTATATTGGTTAATCTGGTTAACCAATTAATCAAACCGATTAAACTTTAGTTTGGTTAATTTGGTTGTTGTATTAGTTTGGACGGTTTGGGTATGATATTGTATTCCATTGTTAATGGAATTTAGCCTTATTTGGTTTGGTTATAACCCATGGTAACCATTTGAACACCCCTAGTCAATCAACGGCTAAGCTTTCCACCCAATGCAAGTGAGCCCAGACTTACCTAGAAACGCACGCAGATAATCATAGTACGTTCCCAATGCATTTGAACACCCCTTTTCTTAATGAACAGTAATTTTGATTTCTGGTAAAAAATTTTAACCTGTGATTTAATAGTTCTAATGATATGAACAATTAAAAATTATGTACTAAATTGTATGAAACCTTAGCTCGAGTCAATCCTGTGAGCTAATTGATGAGCCGAACTCGAGTAAAGGCTGTATGCTTATTAATGAGTCAAACTCGAGTCGAGCTAGAGTCACACAAAAGCCAATGTTTTAGTAAACCAGGCGAGTTCGAGTTTGACTCATTTATTAACGAGCCGATCGCAAATTAGGTCGAAACTCTGCTCATTTGCATTGCCTTGCTATACAGCTATGCTCCATTCTCTCATCTGACGTTCCATAAATCATCATCAATTCATCATGAAACCTAATTGACATGTTAACCCCTCTCCCACTAATTTGCAGGTGGCAAAAGGCATTTCAAAGTGGGTGGGGAAAGCTGGGGATCCCCAACTCTCTTCCAAGGATTGCCCTATGATGAGGACATTATAGTCGTTGAAGCTCAAGTTTCAACATTTTCATCTGTGCCACCAAAGTCGACAAAGCAAACTGGTAGAGATTCATCATCAAAAAAGAGAAAGCAACCTGAAGGAAGAAACCCTCCACCTCTTGCATTAGTCTCACCCAATGTAGATATATATATATATTCTAAATCATGTCCATGAGCTCATTGTTTGGATCTAGCTAGCTACGTACCTTCACCACATGCATGGCTGACTTATAACTTTGCTTTTCGGTTTCAGGTTGCTCGAACCACAACCATGACCGGTTCACTGGTGCCTTTGTCAAGCTTGCAACTGACCACAAGGAACCTAATAGCTCAACTCTCACCACTGATGTGTAGTGGATCCAAACTCACTACTCCAGCTGGAGCTTGTCTGCCGCAACAGGACAGGAGAAAACTGGTCACCTTCTTCGAGATGACGGTGGAGGCCATCTTGAAAGCCAATGCGTTCGATGCTGTCGAGAAAATCGTCCGGAAAATGGCTGATTATCAGCTCATGCCAACTGACCATCCTCATCCGCTAAAGAACATGCTATCCCGGCTGGCGGAGTTTAAGGAGGCCATCCCTGCCTCTCTGACCATGATTGAAAGTTGCAGTGCCATTGAGACGTCGAGAGCAAGGAATGTTAAGGATTTGGAAAGGAGGCTGGCTCAGAAGCAAAAGGAGCTGAGTGTTTTGGAATCGGAAGTCTCGAGGCTTGGTGTAGAAGAGGCGAAGCTGGAGGCCCAGATTCGGGCTCTCGTTGCCTTTAAAGAGAAAATGGCTGGTGCGAGGGCTGCAAGGGAATCTGAACTGGAGAAGATCAACGGAGAGGCCACCAGGGAAGTAGAAGAACTGAAGAGGCAGATGCACGAATGTAACCAAGCTGGTGAGGGTAAGATGGTGGCCAAAGAGAAACTCGCCCAGTTCAATGCAAGTTGGAAGCTCTTCAGAGACTACTTGGGGTTTTAGTTGTTAGTAACAGAAGAAGGAAAATTTTAGATTACTGAAATCTGGCTAAGTCGTGGACTAAGTCGCTTTCTTTAAATCGTTTGCGGCACTGTCTCTTTGCCTACAGCAGTTCTACTCCCCGTTCGTCTCCGGGATAAAACAATCTTCTCTTCTAACTCGTCGGTTTTGTGTGGAAAACCGAAGCTCCTTAAATACTCTTCCTCATGTCTTTGCTCATTTGTGGTGTGTGTAGAGGGGTTTAGGAGACGACTACTTATAGTAGCCAGATCCCCCGAATATACCCTCTGACTTGGCGAATAAGTCACATTAATTAGGGAGATAATCATCTTGTTAATTAAACGCGTCTGTTAAGATAACTCTTGGAAGAATTATCTCTCGAATATTCCTTTTTAGTAAATTATCTCGTAACTGTTAAGGATACAGAATAATTTATTAATAAATAATTAATTTTGGAATTTTTCCGAAATATATTAATCCTTCACTCACTCGCTCACTCACTCAATCGACCGACAAAAGGCGCGTGCCTGTGTTGGTGGTCCGTTAGCTTATCTCTCTCCCACAAAAGTGGGTCACCCAAAGGTGCATGCCCTTAGGTGAGAGAACCCAATCTTTATACTCATTTGGTAAGAGTTCTCCCACCAATGTAGTATTCTTGTCTTAGGACATAGAGCTTTCAATTTTCAAAGCTATTCAGAAGCTTCATTTCCAACAGTAGTGACTTGGGAAGGTGGGTATCGCTTTTTGTTGTTTTGTTTTGGTACATGCACTTTCAGAGTATCACTAGTGCTAACCCTTGGGGGGGGGGGGAGGGGATTTTGCTAATCATGTTGGAAGTTTAGAAGATTAGGGAAACTTTTGTGAGACTTTGCATCCAGTTTGACTCAGAAACAGCTAGCTAGGTACGTTTTTTTGAGGTTGGAGCTTTCGAGTCATCCATATAGGGGATGATGGAGCCCCAAATTCAGCCAAGTAACTAATTGATCTGTGTTTATTACAGATATTGCTACTCCTTTGTGAGTGTGACTCGTCCCGAATACTACAATAAAACTCCCAATTAAGGCGCAAGTATAAACCTTAACTGGATGCAGTATAGGGCAAGTATGTTTAAATATCGACCCAGGCCGATTCATGTACCCCTACTTAGATTGCTTGAGACATTATCTAGCAATTGATATTTGGTGAAAACAACAATCTATAGCTAAAGTGTTTGCAAAGATAAATAGATTTGACACTATTTGAGAAGGCTTCACCTGGGTGTTGCTCCCCCTAGCTAACAATTACGACTTGTTGGATCGAATTGTCGTGTGTGGTGAGGGGGTTGTAAACCGTAGGAAAGTGCAACAAGTAGCCAAGCGCCACTCTCTTGGTCTCTAGGTCGTGGGAAGGAGATATGATCCAAGCCACCAACGTGACTCTCTAGGCCTATTGACTAAGGGTTGGTTAAACTTCACTCTCGAATCGAAGTTTGAACGGCCGCCCACAACCAAACCCTAGGTGCTAATATGAAATAAGAGGTTTTCCCTGCATTAACCTAGATATGAGACAATGAATTGCCTAAGAAAACCCAGCATTCAAGCCTCTTTCAAATAAATGAAGGGGGTTTTCACTCTACCTAGGTTAGAATGGCAATTAGATTGATAGGCTTTCAGACAATTCAATCATTCATGAATAATACCTCCACATTCACATCAAACACAACCACACACAAATCATTCAATCCATACAAGCATTCACATAATTGTAGCTAGGGTTTACAAACACTCAAGTGAAAGAAGGGGCTACACCATGCTACCTTTGCTCCTTGTGTTGAAGAGAACCTCATTTGGAGGAGGAATTCCCAATTCCTTGCTTGAAGATGAAAATCTAGCTTCTCCTCTTCTTTGGTTCGTCACTTTCTCACTCTAGAAATCTAAAGAAGAAGAAGTTTCTCACACTAGGTCTCCCCCTCTTTTCCCTTTAGCTCAACCTCCTTTATATACCCAGATTGGGCTCAGATCACGGTCTTAGTTCACGGTTGTGAACTGAAAGCCTAGACCGTGATCTCAAGTCGAAACGCGTTGCATCACTAGTTGCAGTTCATGGGCAACGGCCTGAGTTCACGGTCTTACGACCGTGAACAGACTTGTGTCCAGTGAAAGCAATTTGTGCTTTGGATGCCTGGCTGTTCACGGGTAGCGCCTCCACTTCACGGTCTTAGTGACCGTGAACACACAACCCAAACCGTGATCTGCTGCTACTTCCACCCTTTGACTTGATTTCTTCCCTTTTGTCAAACTTTCAACTCTGGGGTTGGTTCCACCTGCCAAAGTATGAAAACGCCAAAACAAGGCAAAACCAACGTAAAACCCAAACCTCCCGGAGTAAAAAATGTTTCAAACGATTAAGCAAATCGGGGGATAAAAAGTGTACAAATGAGCCAGAATCACTTCCCCACACTTAGATGTTTGCTTGTTCCCAAGCAAACCATTTTTTACCTAGGTGATATCTCAACCTAACAAGATAACTTGGGGACAAATAAAAAGGCACAAAGCGGTGAATCTCAATTATTATTGGGCATCAACACATGAACCACCACAAACAATACCGACATCCACCACAAACGACATTCGATCGCATTAAGAATGGACACCTCAAACAATATTGTTCAAAAATCAATGCAAGTCTCGACCGGACTACTCACCAACCACAACTAACCATGCATAGAACTCAAGTCCAAGGAGCAGACAATGGAGCAACATAGGTCCTCATTAGGGTAAGATATGAACGTGCAAAATAAGAATGAATCACTCACTCTCAACCAGTGGGGTCGGGACATTTTTGGTGCAAAATATGTGCACAATCATCAACATTCAGTCCTATCGTCTCTCCACCACGGTGGCAACCTCTAGATGCTAATGTTCACGGGACGATTGTCACACTAGCTTGTGCGAAGGTTTTAGACACGGGTTCAAATGACTGGCAATTGTCTTGGACATGGGAAAAAGGATTTTTAGGTGGTGGCAAACATGGCATGAGGTCCTACATCTTCAACCTAAAACCAAAGGTTCTATGGTCTTGACTAAGAACATTTCCTACAAACAAAGGCCACTAACATCAAGCAAAAACCACGCTTCCCTTCTTCCAAACCACTACCAATCACGAACTACATTCAAGCACACTTCTTCGGCCTATCTTGCTATTCACATTTCAAACCTATTAGTGATGGAAGTTATGAAACAATTTAGGTGTTTCAATGGCTTGGGTGCCAAGAAACCTTTTCTAGAACATACACTTAGACTTTCGTGGCCACTCTATACTTTTATTTACCCCGTTTTATTACCTCTTTTTCTTTTTTTTTTCTTTCTTTTTCTCTTCTCTTTTTCTTTCGAGGGGGGGGGGTACTAGAGAGCTAAACACATGCCACTTCTTTCATTTAATGAACAATGCTCTCCATTTAAGAACTTTCCTCTGACACTACCTTCTCATTTATAGCAAGAAGCGTGTAAAATCACCTATGTAGAACCTCAATGGAGCTCAAAAGCGAGAATTCCGAGAAACAAGGATGGCTCACACCTTCACACGAAGAAAGGATGGGTGAGGGTCGTTCTTTCAATCACCATTAAACTCATCAAGCACGAAGCTCTTAGCATTAGAACGACCCCCAAATTCACACGACTCAAAGGGGTTGACTAGGGGATAAAATGTTTTGGGACAATCAAATTTTGGGTGTGGACTAATCCTATGCCTCCATCATACTTACTAGTGAAAACGGTGAATGTTACACGCCATGGCGAGAGGGATCTATCACACATGAAAAAGACAATCGGCACAAAACTCACATGGCTACCTAGCCGCCCAATCATCTATTCCAATTTCAAAAAATGCATGCCAATTGTAATCAAGAAGTAACCAAGTCAAGACATCCATTCATTTAAGCACACGTGAGAACAAAGCTTTTGCACAACCCTAATGCATTCTCAGCAACATAATAGGATGCACTTGACACATGCAACAATTCATGATCGATGCCAAACAAGCACGAGATTCACCCACCAATCGGCCATTTTGATCATGCATTGCTTGGAGCCCTCAAAATTTTCAAACTTGGGCATACATCAAGGCTCCAAGCATTCACTCACACACACAAGCATAATAATAAACTACCCCCCCCCCCAACACTTAAGCTCGACTTGCCCTCAATGGCGTAAAATAGGAGGTAGAACGATGTTACCGCATGGCTTTGTGAATGAAAGTTGGAGAAATTTCCGGGGTAGGATGTTTGAGCTTCAAAGGAGAAACAAAACATAAATACACACACATTCTCGCTCGATGCGAGGTTATTACACATAACAAAGTTTCATAATATGATTCAAATGACATACCTTCGTTGGGTTGCCTCCTATTAAGTGCTAGTTTAAAGTCTTAAGCTAGAGGGAGACTTCATGCTAAACATCATGTAGGATCACCACCTCCTTTTGGGGCATTACCTCTCCGCCGAGGTAACGTTTGAGGTGGTGTACGTTTACTTTGAAAATGCCTTGCTCCGAGTGGGAAATCTCCACCACCGCGTAGGGAAACACTCGGGTCACCGAGTACGGGCCCAACCATTTTGATCTCAACTTCCCGAGGAAAACACATAACCGAGAGTTGTAAAAAAGCACCTGCTCCCTTGGTTGAAATTCTCCCCCTCCCCCCCCCTTGAGTCTCGCATCATGCAGATGCTTCATCTTCTCCATGTAAATCTTGGTGTTCTCGTAGGCGTGAAGATGCCACTCATCGAGTTCTAGCACCTGCAAATTTCTCTCATTTCCACACAAAGTAGGGTCCATATTCAACAGTTTGGTGGTAGGCCTTGGAAACCCGATGGGTGACACCATAGTGATCGAGGAGTTTGTCGAATTTCCCTTGAAAATGGGTTTCTCGATCACTAATGATGGCCCTCGGGGGTCCCAAAACGTGAAAACAATTTCTTCAGGAATTTGCAGACTCGTCTTGCATCACTGGTAGGTAGGGCTTGCGCCTCGACCCGCCTCGAGACATAGTCCACGACTACTAGAATTTACTTATTTTTAAAAGACGATGGAAAAGGGCCCATGAAACAGATGCCCCATACATTGAAATCTCACACATGACGGAAATTATTTGGGGAATCTAATTTTGGTTAGAGATGTTACATGTTCTTTTGCAGCTATCACAATGTCGGACGAAAGAGTAGGCATCTCAGAACAGCGATGGCCAGTAGAATCCCTATTGAAGCACCTTCATTGCGGTGAGGTTTCCTCCGTGATGCCCTCTAGTTGGTCCCTCATTACATTGGCTTAGAATAGCCATCATTTCCCTTTTCGGTTCACACCTTCGAATGACACCATCATCCCCAATCCGAAAAAGGTGAGGATCAACCTAAAATTAGTGTCAGAGTCGGAAAGAAACTTCTTTTTTTCATTTGTATTCATGCCCTTCGGTAGTTGTCGTCCGACCAAATAGTTGGCAAAGTCGGCGAACCACGGGGTAGCACTCTCAGCCTCGGCAAGAACGGATAATTTCTCATCGGGGAAAGTGTAATTAATCTTGCCTTGGAATGTGCTACCCCGGGACTTTCAAGATGGGAAAGGTGATCCGCCGCAAGGTTCTCAGCCCATTTCTTGTCTTTGATCTCCACATCGAATTCTTGGAGAAGCAGGATCCATCTTATCAAGCGGGGTTTGGCGTCAGTCTTACTCATAAAGAAACGGATAGCAGAATGATTGGTGTATACAATGAACTTTGAAAACACAAGATAGGACCGGAACTTGTCGGAAGCAAAGCTGTCTGCCAACAATTCCTTTTTCAGTAGTTGTGTAGTTCGCTTGAGCCTCATTCAATATCTTTGAGGCATAGAATATGGGTTGAAAATGTCCACCCCTCCTTTGACCTAACATCGCTCTCACTGCATAATAACTAGCATCGCACATTAGCTTGAAAGGGAGGGTCCAATCCGGAGAAACCATGATTGAGGCATTTGTGAGCCAAGCCTTTAGGACATTGAAAGCTTCAAAACACTCCTTTGTGAAGATAAAAGGTTCATGATTGTTGTACTTCCCTATGGTTTCGACCCCCTCACCACACATAACCATTCGATACAACAAGGCATAATTCTTAGATAGGAGGAGCAACACCCGGGTGAACTCTTCACTCATTAAACATACTCGCCCTATACTACACCGGGGTAGAGTTTATGCTTGAGCTCTAGTCATAATTTAAGTCGCGGTGTATCCGTAGCGAGTCATGTATCGATTGAATAGTCCCTTCAATCATGGTCGAGAAACTACCCTTTTATACCATACGAGCTTTCCCCGGGTGTGGAATTGTCCATTGGTTCTGTTTTACCCAATTTCGTATTAAGAACGCGTTGTTCTTGATCGAGTTCAATCAATCTTCGGATTGATCGTGTTGCTGCGTAACTTTGATTACATACAACCTCCCTAGGGTCGTATTAAGTGGTATCAGAGCGTGGTTCAACGTAGGGGCAAAGAGGAGATCGAGAATTATGTTTTTCGTTCTGTGTTTCTTCCGAGGATCTAATGGAATCGATGTTCTTCACCCGTTGTTTAATCTAGGAGGAGTACCAGTCGTCATTGGTGGCAAAGGCATCGTCGACTAGAAGCAATTCCTTCCAGACTTTGCTCATCCAAGAAGACCCATGTCTTTCGACGGTAGAGCAGGGGAAGAGAGAGGGCCAATTGGGTGGAGAGTTCGGGGAAGAATTATACACAACCGAATGTGCGGAAACCTTCCAGGACACGTCGGGCAATTATTCCCTGGGCTGGAAATGAACAAATACATCTCCATTACATAATCCAATTCGAGCAGCAAGTGCTATGGAACGCAGAAACAAGAAGGAAAATTCGTTGAATGGGTTGGGGCGATCGGGCATGATTCGACGCAAACGACGGATGCATAATCATTCTAGGATTTTCCAGGAATTTGTAGGACCAATCAATTGTCATGAGGATGTCGGATCTAGGAACGCCCAAATTGAAAACTTTTGGCCGAAAATTTGGAGATTTTATTTAAGGAAGAATTGAACACCTAAAACCAAGTTTTTGGTTGAGAGTTTGGCCGAGAAAACCAAGCTCGATTGAGCTCTTGTATCTATCCAAATCACATTGATCGTGGATGAGCATCGACTTATATTTGTTGAGCCTTCCTCCAGGTGTAGGATTGTACATCAAATTCCATATTTTACCTTCTTTCTTCATCAACAAGTTGTTGAAGCTTTACGATGAGTTATTCAGAGCTTGACGGACCAACCTCTCGAAATCCAAACTAAGGAAAGCATGGGCCTCTCTCTCTCAATCGGTTGAATTGGTAACGGATTCCAAGCTTGAATTCGATAATCAAATCCAACCCGCTTAGGAGGTTATCAAGTGGTATCAGAGCATGGTTGAGTTCGATAACCTACTTTTTCATACAAGTTGAATTCGTTGAAAAACAGGGAGGAGGAGCCCCTGTTTCATGCAAGTTCCAGCTGCTATTCGAACTTGAATTGCAATGGAAAATTTGACCAAGGTGAGGAGATAGTATTGGGAAGTAGAGAGGCAAAGAATCTTCAAAATTCTTGGCCAAGAGAAGTGGCCAGTAGCTCCAGTTCAACGTCGAGAATCCGACGAGCAACGAGACCATTTATTTCATAGTCGATGCTTTGTCGAAGGGAAATTTCTTTCGCTCGTGATCAATGGAGGATGTTGCTCAAACATCATCGCCCTAGAAGCCGTTTAGAAGCTCGGATTGAGGACGCAAAGGCACCCTGAGCCTTACCAACGCAGCGGGATCAACGAACATGGTACGATCAATGTAACGAAACAAGCTTTGGTTTGTTTTAAACTTGACAGCTACGAAGACGAGGTAGTTTGTGGCGTTGTGCCGATGAATTTTGTTCATCTAATGCTGGGAAGAACTTGGCAATTCGATCGAAAAGTTGTCCATGATGGCTGAACCAAGCAATACAAGGTCAAGCATCAAGGAAAGAAGTTCGTTCTGAAACCTCTTTCGCTAGACGAAGTTTATGGCGATGTGAAGTAGATGGAGGAAAAGAGAAACACATGCAAAGAATCACGAGCGCAATTGTGGATTCAAAGACGTGTTGGTTTCAATTTTATGACCACTCGGAAGCTCAGGAAGGAATATAAAGTCTCGGAATCAACTGGGTTCCACGACCTGTATTCAATTTTGACAAAACAGAGTTCCGAGATGACACTCATGTCTAGAGCACTCGGGGGAGATTTGAGACAGTCGAGGGTGCTAACACGTTCCCTATGACCACAAGAACGTCTCCATGATGGTCAAGAAAGGTTGGAAGCATCTCCATGATGGTCTCTTCCTCTTGTGTTTCTCCCCTTTCTAGCATGGAGTAGTTTCCTTTTTCACTTGGGTGTTGTGAAACCCTAACTATCTACCATGTAGTTTTTGTTTTGTGAATTGAATGATTGTTTATGGGTGTTTTTTAAGTCAATGATTGAGGTATTTTTCATGTTGATTGTGCATGTTTGTGCTTAGCAACCTAATTGGCCATTTTAAACTAGATTAGAGTGGGAAGACCCCCTTTCAAGGGAGGCTCAATTGAGCTGGGATTCCTAGGGTTTCTAAGCCACCTAACTAGGTTAATGTAGGGCAAGCCTCCATATTGAATTAAGCAATTTGGTTAAGCGCGATTAAGCTGACCAACCAGTGGGTTGAGAGAGGGAGTAAGTCAACCATCGATTGTCTTTACCGAGAGGGCCTCTTGAAGAGTCTTTAATGTATCCCTCGGTTTGTAAATCGAGAGTGTGGTCTATGACCATATTTGTGTCCCCTATCGGTTCGAGGTCACCTTGCCCATTGCAATCACTTCGATTCACAAAGATCTTTAAAAACCATTTACTTTTGCCTTGCTTTACTTTAATTAGCAAACTTTTCAACCAAAATTGATTCTCTAGATAATATTCAAATGACTTAAGTAGGGGTACACAGACCGGCCCGAGTCGATATTTAATTGTGATATTCGAGACGAGTCAATTTTTGGCGCCGTTGGCGGGGAACAACGGTTTGTTATCTTGCTAAAGTTGTTTGGTGTTAATCTAGCTTTTAATTTCTAGTTTTGAAAGTGTGCGTTCTTTGCTTGTGCTAGACTTGGTGTTGTTTTCTGATTGTGTGTAGGGAGGTGCATGACCCGGAGCAATCCGACACCTTTGCTACCCCGTGAAGAGGACATAAACCGAACTCTCCCACTCCTAGCAAGGGATAGGGAGCTAGCGGAGGCAAGGAGAAGAAGTGAAGAATGGAACCAAAGAGAGGAAGGTGAAGAAGAGGAAGGTGAACCTATCGTTGGAGCAGAAATAGCGGAGAACCAAAGAGAAGCGAAAGCCGGTCAAGCTCGTAATCTAAACGATGTGGTGGCAGAAAAGGAAGCCCCAACGACAATGGGATACTATATAGCCCCACGACCGGCGGACATTCAATCGCCAATACTAAACCCTCCCATTGCGGCCAACAATTTCAACATCAAGCTAGATCTAGTAACCATGATAGAGAACAATGCTTTGTTCCACGGTCATGCGACCGAGTCAGCAAGAGAGCATATCCAAAGATTCCTAGAGCTCGCGGGGAGCTTGAAGATCAATGGCATGTCAGCTGAAGCTTTGCAGTTGAGGCTTTTCCCCTATTCACTTACGGGGAAAGCACTCTGGTGGCTAAACAACCGCCCGCCTCGTTCAATCACCTCATGGGACGATCTTCTGAACAAATTCATGTCCTGCTACTGCCCACCTTCGAAGACGGCCGAGTGGAGAAAGATGATCACCCATTTCGAGCAAGAAAGGACGAGACCTTGAGGGATGCTTGGGAGAGGTACTCCTATTATTTTCCTTAATGCCCTCACCATGGGTTCGAAGAACAATTTCGGATTAAAACTTTCTACGGTGGTCTAATCCAAGAAGACAAGATTCTCATTGACTCGCTGTGTCAAGGGAAATTTATGAATATGAATCCTCTCCAAGTGACCGAGCTACTTGAAGAAATGTCCCTTAAGGGATACGATTGGGGATTGACGAGAAGCAGGAGGAGAAGCAATGATAGGGGAGTGAGAAGCGTGGGAGCGAGCGCTCCACTTGAGGCGAAGTTGGACAAGTTGATAGAGGTAATTCTTAAAGATAAGTGATAACATCGTATTTGCACATGTTTGCACCCTCATTTCTTGATCATTTTGGCTTGATTTTTTTGCTTTCTTGGACTATTATATGCTAGGTTGTGTTCCTTTTTCACATTTCAGGTCCTAGCATGTAAATTGAAGCAAAGGCGCAAGTTTCAAGTCAATCGGAATTCATTTGGCAATTCGGGAGAAGAAACACGAGCATGACCTGAGGAAGAATAGACTTCTACCTCATATTATGGACAAATAATCATGGAATCTTGTCATGAAAAGATAGAGGACGAGACTACGAGCGTCTGGGATCAAACGGCGACTGACTCAGAGTCCGGACGAGGGAGAAACGAAGCATTAAACATGGGCGGAGGAAGAATTACGGGCAGGAGAATTACGACCGTAATTTCCCCTCCCATGCCCGTATTTTCACTGTCGAGAGGAGCTTTGGATGCGCTGAAACTTAACCAAAACGTGTGTTTTGGGAAAAATACGGGCATGGAAGAATTACGACCGTATTTCTGCCCGTATTTAGCCCAGAACGGGTTTTTGAGGCATATTCGAGCCAAAGGAAAGTGAGAGCTGGGTTTTGGTTTCCAAACACCCAAGGGACGAACCCTAGAGAGAACGACTTGGGAACATTCTTGGAGCTATTTTGGAGGATTTCTTCACCATTGGAGCTCAGGAATCAAGCTTGGAGATGGAGATTGAAGATCTAGATCAGATTTCTGCAATCTCTCTCTTCTCTATGGAGTAACTTCCCTTCACTTAGGTTTTGAGGAACCCTAGTTCCATGTGTTAGGATCTTTCTTGTATGAAGTTTTGGATGCTGTATTGTTTGATTATAATCGATTGAGGCATGATTTATAGAGTCCATTGAAGCCTGATCATCTTCTCTTGATTTCTGCTTTAACCTATGATAGATAGAATCTGATTAGGTTAAGAGAGCTTCCTTGATTGATAGTGGTGAATTGGTTGTGCGAGAGTCAATCAATTCACTGCTTTATATTGGAATTCATTCCAGTAGTGGAGATCCGTGTGAATCGCCTTAGCAGTCTATCCCGGTGAAGGCTAGTTGCCTTCCGAGTATTCTGTCTAAGAGGGCTTGGTCAGCTTAAGAGATTCCAAGTTAATTTAGGATCTTTCGCAGTTTAATCAACAGTAGAACAACCAAAGGTAATTGCAAATTGGACCTAATTGAGGAGCTAGGGGGAATCATACCTAAGTGATTTCCCAACTTGTAATTAGTAGAGTAGTTAGTATAGTAGTTTAGTAAATCCATCCTTAATCTAGTTTGCTAGATAATGAACTGAAGTTGAGTAATAGTAACTCTAGAGACCCGTGGATTCGATATTTATTACTTGTGCCACTATACTGCAGTCCCTTTCATTGGTTACACTTGGCCATTGTTAGGTGTTGTGTCATAGCGTGTCAATAAGAAGCAAGGAAAGAGGTTGGTGATGTCTTGTGGTTGGTAATTCGAGCACTAACCATGAGATGGCGGAGTGCCAAGCAATGAAGGAGGCAACCACTCCGGAGGAGCAAGTCAATTTCATGGCAAATGCTGGGGCTAATAACCCGTATAGCAATACTTATAATCCCGGATGGAGGAACCACCCCAATTTTGCTTGGTCATCACCGACTAATCCGAGGCCCCCGGGTTTTCAACGCCCTACGGGCAATTATCAACCTCGCCCAAACTTCATCCAACAAAGGCCTCAGGTCCAAAACTCGAAATTCCAACAACCATACCTCGGACAAGGTGGTAAGGGTTTTCAACAACAACAACAACCCGACAAGTTATCCAAGCTTGAAGACCTAGTGAACACCTTTGTGAGCACGAGTGCTCAAAAGTTTGAGAAGATTGAGCAATTCATGGATGTGGCACTTCATACCCATTCTCCCCTCGTCAAAACCGGCCTGTGTTGCGATTTTGGAGAGATTTGGGTGAAGTTTTTTCCGGTCAAGTGGGCAGCGGCGAGTCTTCGACGAAGCTCCGGTGACCCCTCTCTAGCCTATTTTCAACCATTTTTCGCCTTCCTCGCCCGCACCTCACTTGCTCCTACGTCCTACTTGCGTCTCCTGGTTGGTTTTTCAGCTCCACCTTGTTAATTTTGGGAGAATCGGAATAGGTTGATTGAATGGTGGAATGTTAATGCTTGAGCCTAGTTGAGCCTTGGTGGGCGTGTTTGAACCGAATTGTCTATATTTTTAGAATTTGCCCACCAAGTGCTATTTTGTGAATGCATGTGGGACTTTAGTTGGTGGATGGTAGCCACCGTGGTTTGGGTTGTGGTTTGGATTTTTGTGTGAGTGAACCGTGAAATAACCACAACCATTCCACGGTGTGCTTGAGCTTTAATGATTGATATCCATGGTGGAAATATAAGTGTGGGGGAATCTCTTTTCCTCCTAATGAGCAGTATTTGATGATTGTTTCCACGTGTGGTGCTTGTTTGCTGATTTGTGCAGGATGGTTAACATGGACCACCCATACCTTGTGGCGCTAAGGGGCTGCCCTGAAATGGAAGAAGAGATGCGTTTTTGGGCATCTTCGAGCGTCGGTAACAATTGGAAACTCGACTTCGCACAGTTTAGCAGGCTTCATTGCGGTGATGTTATGAGGGAGGCAGTGGTGCACCCTCAATGGCACCAACTCCTTAATCTCGAAGGTGACATTTACGGGGAGTTATGCGTCGAGTTTTTCAGCACCTTCACCATCCACAAGACCAAATGCCTACTCGGCCATCCAATACGCCGGGTCGAGTTCCGGTTGGGAGGGGAATGTCGCACTATGAGCTACGATGAGTTAGCGGAGGCCCTTGGAGTGGAAGCCAAGCATGAGGACAATTGGGAGGAAGACTCCAACCAAACTTTCAACGTGAATGTCGCATTTATGAAGTTTTGCCTTCCAAAGTACCGAAGGACATATTTTAGGTTGGCCCTCATATTGGCATCTACACTCCAACCCCAGTGGTGTATCATCGTTACACTCCTGGATCGTTCCCCCTACCCAGCATACCACAACTCGAACAAGATAACCGAGAGAATCTTGTTGGCTTGTTCTTGCATGGAGGACCTGTCTAGCACTCTACACCTGGGTTCAGTCATAGCCACTTCTTTTTCCAGGGCCAAGGGGGGAAACCGTCGTTACGTCACATCAATGGGTCGCTACATCACTCGCCTTGCTAGATACTTCAATGTCAGCCTTGCAGGGTGCTCGAGAGAAGGGCGCACCCAGAGGTTTGACGAGGGAACTTTTCACTCCATGCGCTTATTTCACACCTTTGGACCAATTCAGTACATCGAGGGATTGAGTCCTTGTCCAGAGGGACCGCCAGCAGAGCAGCCACCTGCTCGAGTACCTGGCCGCCGCCGTCCTGCGCTCCAGCGCCCAGCCCAGCCACCACCACCAGCAGTAGAAGGTGATCCCCTCGTCCAGAGGGTGGATCGCCTAGAGACGAGCTTCGTGGGAGTGACTTCCTGCCTAAACCGGTAGACCGACCTCCTCTAGCTGATGGCACGATGTCAGGGCCTCCTTCCAGATGAGAGGGAGGGTCCATCCACCCGCAGGAGGTAGCCGACGAGTGAGACATGTGGCAAAGCCAATTTCTTTCTCCCCACTTCTCCACTTGTAACTCTGAACTTGTTTTAGTTATTTTTCTTTCTTTTGTGTGTGTGACCATAAACTACTACTACTACTATCGTATTGTGTTTGTAATAAACTAGCCTCGAGCGAGTCGAATGTGTTTTTGGCTCTCCTTGAAGCTCCAAATATCCTACCCCGGAATTGATTCCAACTTTCACTCACCAAGCCCAAGTGGTAACATCATTCTACCTCTATCTTACGCCATTGAGGGCAATGTCGAGCTTAAGTGTGTGTGTGGGGGGGGAGGGTAGTTTACTATTATGCTTGTGTGAGAGTGATTCATTCTTAGAGCCTTGTTGTATGCCCAAATTTGAAAATTTTGAGGGTTCCAAGCAATGTTTGCATGATCAAAGTTGCCGGGTTGTGGGAAAATCTAGTGTTTATTGGCATTGATCTTGATTTGTTGCATGTGATCAAGTATATCCAGTGATGATGACTGAGAGGTCCATTAGGATACTGCAAAATTTTATTTCTCATGTGTGCATACTTGTTATCTAAAATTTTCCATGCATTGTGTTTTGTGAATTGGAATAGATGGTTGGGTGACTAGGTAGCCTTGTGAGCTTTGAGCCGATCGTTTTCTTCTTGTGTGATTAGATCCCTCTTACCATGGCAAGTAACATCACAGTTTTCACTAGGGAGTATGATGGAGGCGTAGGATTAGTCCACGCCCAAAGGTTGATTGTCCCGAAACGTGTTATCCACTAGTCAACCCCTTTGAGCCTTGTGACTTCGAGGATCGTTCTTAAAGTAGGAGCTTCGTGCTTGTGAGCTTAATGATGTTGATAGGACGAACCCCAATCCTTTCTTCGTGTCTAAACATGAGTCGCCCTAGTGCCCTGGAGCTCTCACTTTTGAGTTTCCATAGAGGTTCTACATATGAGTTAGTGTGCGGTTCTTGCTAGGAATGAAAAGTAAGTGTAGTGTTGGATTGAGTTCTTGAAAAGAGACCATTGGTCGTTTAATGTATAGGTGGCAAGGTTTTGACTCTCTAGTAACCCCCTCAAAAAGAAAAGAAAAGAAAAGAAAAAGAAAGAAAAGAAAAACGAAAAAGAGGTAATAAAACGGGGTAAATAAAGTAGAGAGTGCCACGAAAACCAAAGTGTATGCTCTAGGAGGGGTTTCTTGGCACTCAAGCCTTTGAAACCCCAACATTGTTTTAGAACTCCATCACTACCAAACCTTAATGTGATAGCAAGAGTAGATTGAGGAAGAGCGCTTAAATGTAGTTCACGATGGGTGA